TGTCCAGCACATGGGCTGTCCCGCTGTGCTTGCTGCCTTGGTGCTTGGTAGGTGGGTTGATACTGGCATTCTAGCTCGTGCCAGAAGTGCGATTTTGACAGAAATCTCCCATCATCTCAATTGAAGGTGCTTTGGTTGGCCTCGGAAAGCAGCTGGTAGAGCTTACATTATCCAGAAACTTTGTAGATGAAGTTCCTATCACATTCCAAATAAATCTTGGGCTGTAATATTCAGATAAGCTGTCATTTCCAGAGCAGGGCATGTAGTTTATGACTTCTTTGACTTTGCTTTGTTCTTCTTTAGAACCTTTCAAAAAAGCTATCCTCATGCAACTGTATTGGAACTTAGTAAATACAAATAAAATTACTAAGGGAGATGCTTCCCAGGATGGAGCTGGGGTACCTGAAACTGGTACTGCTCTGCATACATACTGGAACTGTAGCTAAGCTTACAAAACTGAAAGGAGAAAGGAGGTTTATTTGATTAGACTTGTTGCTCAAGATATTCGTTTATCTGACACAAAAAGGCTCCTTGTGGATTTTGAAATAGTTCAGACTGGGGACAGTGAAGAAAATGTATTTCTGCTACAATTGTTTTTTAATAGAAAACTTAACTCAATCTCTCAGGGAAAATTCAGGCACAATTTACCTTGCCTGCAAATGTGCCAAAATTTTTTAAATTTGCAAATGATAATTTTTCCTTCTTGTGACCTTTCTCAAAAGTATATTGTCTGTTTTCACAGAGCCTGGTAAGACTGCTTGAAGAACCCTACAGTGAAAAAGATAGGGAAGTGAAAGATAGGTCGTTCAAAACACTCAAACCCCCAAACCCCAGGAACTTGGCCATCTATTCCGCAGAACAACCTGGTGTGTTTTGTTTATGATACGTAACTTTTGGTCTCATCTGTGAAGAGGCCTCCAGGGTTCCAGCTTTATACTTAAATGCCAGCAGAACTTAAAACAGACGTTACGTGTTTTCTGGGTTTTAAAGCATGCTACAGTTGTAGGCTCTCCACAGGTTTCTGCTGAAGAGATGGCAGTAGTATCAGTGCTGCTGGACCTCCAGCATAGCCACAAAATATAAGCAAGACCTTTCTTGTTGAATAGAATTCTTTAAAATGAATCTCACATAAGTGGTTGAAAACATGAAATAGGTCAATGCTCTCCCTTCTAGCATTTTGAATCTACTGTCATGCTTCTCTCAGAGTTTCAGGATAGCTTTAATTTCAATTACAGTTTAATCTCATGGAGTGAGTTTTACAAAGCTGCAAAATATTTGTACCACCTTATTTTTTACTCAGTTTTAGTCACCTCCCATGACATTTCATAGCCTTTGCGCTGGCGTAAGTGTGATATAGGGGGAAAATCAATCAGCCAATTCTAATTGTTACCTGTAAAGGGCTTAAAGTAATTGGGGTTGTTAAGTGACTTACCCTTCTTACAGCAGTCACTTGTGGGGTTGTATTTAAAAGGCAATATGATTTTTAAACACAAGAAAATGTGAGTTCTCCTGTCTTCTCCTTCTTACCTTTCCACCTTCCTGCTGTATTCAGTATATGATTTTTTTCCTTATCCTTTAATTCAAAAATGTCACAATAAGCAGAGATCAAGCATGAAGACCTAAAAAATAAAATTAAAATATCACATATAAGTTACAGTCTTAACAGATTTTTAACTGCTGAGTTGTTTAAACTGGACATTTACTTAAGAAAGCATCTGAATATTAAATATTAAACATTTTAACTAGCTCTTTGTAACTAGCCAAAGATACTTTTTAAGATATTAAAAAACAGACTGTCATTCTGAAAGACTTTTAAAATATATTTGATTTGAACAGGGCTTACTTGTATGTTATTCCTAAATCCTATTTCAAGATTTACTTATAGGACTATGCTAGCTGCCTGCAAAAACATGAATATATTTTTGCCTCACTGATGGTTTTGGGTTTATCAGTAAAATTGCACAAAATCTTCTATTTTGCTGCATTCAGAACCTGCTACATATAAGTGCTGTACACAATAAGAATACATCAGTTATCCAGAAGTTAGAAGTGGGCAATGTCTGTAGAGAAGCAGTAGGAAGTTATAGTTTTGATATGTATGGTAAGTTTATACTTGATATGGAAGGGAATCCCCGTTTCGTGAGTTTATTGTGGCTTTGTGTATACACCAGTGCTTTCTATTTTGCTTAGAAAACTCCGTTAAATTATAAGGAGAAGAAAGATAGATATTGCAGATAGATACAATCTGGTTAAAAACAAGCAAACAACAACAAAGGTAATTTCCCCAAGAAGACAAAATACTGTCAAGTGTTTGTACAGAACCTGTCTTGGGGGTTGGATGAAGTGGCCGCGGCTGCAGTGCCGGGGGCCTGCCTGCCCCGGCAGGCCCCCAAGAAACTTTGTAGATGAAGTTCCTATCACATTCCAAATAAATCTTGGGCTGTAATATTCAGATAAGCTGTCATTTCCAGAGCAGGGCATGTAGTTTATGACTTCTTTGACTTTGCTTTGTTCTTCTTTAGAACCTTTCAAAAAAGCTATCCTCATGCAACTGTATTGGAACTTAGTAAATACAAATAAAATTACTAAGGGAGATGCTTCCCAGGATGGAGCTGGGGTACCTGAAACTGGTACTGCTCTGCATACATACTGTCTCATTTGATTAGCTTCTATTGTATACTTAAGATTTGTTTTGTCCGTTATTCTCTACAACTCACCCAAAAACTCATTTAAAAATTTTAATGATTTTCTTTAAATATTTTCATGAATTCTGATACCCGGTTCTAGGAAAATAAAATTTGTTTTCAGTCATTTCCTTGTTATAGGCAGTGCCAGTAGTCAGTTGTCAAAGTTACATAATACCTTCTTTGAAATGCCATTTTTGTTGCAAGAATTTACAATTCTGTAACTTTTTTTTTTTTTTTTCCTCATATGGGTGACCAACAGAAGGAGGTCTGGGCTCTCTTTTTCCTTTTTCTATTTTCAGTGGTGAAGGCACCTGCGGGCTGTCCAGGCTAAAAACAGCTCCATCGGAAGTAGTTCTTTTATTTTCTCGAGAACGTGGGAGGTAGCCACAGGCAACTGCTTTTAAGCTCAGAGCTGACTGAAGTTCAGCCTGGAGAGAATCAAAATGTTGGCTGAAGCAATAAAATATGGTGAAGTTGAGCCTTTCTGATTTATTAGGTCTTTCAGAAATTCAGGTTCGCAGTCTAAGTAAACCATGAATTTTGGCTGTACTCGGGAAGCTCTAGCTGCTTGTTTTGTTTCGTTTCCATGCTCTGTAAGCTGGAAACTTGAACTTCTCCAGTCATTTATGCTTTTGATCACCTCCAGTTTGGATTACTCCTACTTTTTGTGAGTAAATGAGGTCTACACAAGTTATGTTCAGAAGCAGAATTCAAACTCATGTTCTAAGTAGAAATACAGGTCAGCAGAAACCATTTTATGACATGATCTCTTAGTAATGAGCAACTGTTTTGTCTTCATGGTTCATCTTGGCATTCCAGAACTGTCACATCCTTTAACAAGCCACTTGCAGAAGTAATCTTAGTAGATTCCTGCATCATCGCGATAAATTTGCGAAGACTTAGATCCTGTTATGCCACACTGCATTAACAGGGTATCATATGACCTTTACTTCAAAGAACCTACAGTCTAAATGAATAAAACCAGACTTGGATTGAGAAAGTGTTATGAGACATAGCAGAAAGAACAATAAAACTGGCAAGCACATGGTGTTATTTTCTTCTGTCACGAAGTTGTTAGGAGTTGAGTCTGAATTCAAAAGATGGGGATGGGGAGGAGGAGCAGGGAGCGCTGGGAAGTGACGAAAAGCAGAAAAAGAGCAAATGTGAAAGATGAGGGAAGGCCGGAGGGAACAAGTCAGTGCAAACCAGAGGCCGGCCAGCCAGCTCACAGTAATTTCTGAATGTCCAATCCTGAAAGATGCCCTGTTTGGTGCCTGGAGTCTGCCAGGTTTCCCCCCATGGGTGCCAGGGAGGGATAAGGCAGCGTGGGGGGTCCCCAAACCCTAGTGATGCACAAGGGAGTCCCCGGCAGAGCCCAGAGCCCCACAGCCCCACCAGGCCTCACGTTCCCCAGCTCGTCCATGTGTTGATATATCTTGAGAATAATGTAAATAAAATACAGTGTGTAATTAATTGCTTTCAGACATTCTCAAGTTACCTTTAACAAACCTGTTGGAGGCTTTGAAGTATTTCGGATATTTGAAGCCTTAACACTGGAAAAAATCTCAAATTTTAAATGCATGAATTGTGAAGGAGCAAGGAGACTGGCATCATATACCATCACCATATACCATATTTAAATGATGGTATATCCTCTCTCCCTTTCAAAGAACTAAAGTACACTGCAGTTTTCATTTTGATGAGTCTACATTAAAAATTTTAGATGTTTCTAAGTGACTTTAATTTGTGGAGCAGTGCCCTTTTCCTTGACATGTGTTAGAATTTGTATTAGCACTTCTTTGTCCTTGTTTCTGAATTATTTTAATGACGGCAGCCGTTCCACCAAACTGTCTGTCAAGATGTGGGTGGCAGGCCATTATTTCACTTCATAAATCATAATTTACAGGGTTTTTTTTATATCCATCTTGGGGATAAACACTTTATGCTTTGTGTTTTCAGCAGCAATATAAAATGTAATTGATACTTAAAGCAGTATGTTAGAAATATGGACATAGAAAGCCAGGGGAGAAAAATCACAAATGTTTAGTTTTTCTGTGGCTTGGTCTACATACTGAGCATTTTTTCCATCTGATTTCATATTCTTAGCACTTCAACAGAGGATGATGATGAATTACATGATTGCTGCCTGTAGGTTACTATAAGGATGTTTCTTTAGTTACAGGCACTCAACAGATCAGTTAACTCAACAGAGTTATTTGTAATGTTTCTTTTGCTGCTGACTTAACTTACCGTTTTGTGCTATTGTCTTCTAGATTCATGAAAAACTACATTACTATGAAAAACAGAACCCAGTGCCCATACTGCACGGTGCAGCAGCCTTGGCAGATGATGTAAGTGTCCCCTGCTGAGATCACTGGTACCAAATCTCCCAAAAAACTGTCTGCAAGCAGAGCTCCTCATAGTGCAAACATATGAATGTAATCCTCTGAGCTGAAATCATAAGAAGCTGCAAATGTTTCCAGAGGTGCTGTCATCACTGTGCTTGTTGCTGATATTACTTTGATATTTATTCACTTGCCTGTTATAAAAACATTGCATCTAGATAGCCTCTTGTTCTGATTTGGTAACTACGTAATAGAAATTACAGGTTGG